TTAAAAAGAAATGAAATTCTGACACATGCCTGAAAAACTCACAGTTAATTACCAGTCATAGTGGAAGAGCATAGTGGACAAGGTCATGGGGCTTGTCCCTATACACTTCTCTCATGGCCCTTGGGCCCGGCGTGTGCTGATCGCATACCTGCTTTAGCCCTTCTGCTGTCCTTTGCACACTGTCTCTCAGTTCTCATGACAGCTATCCTGATTTTCCTTGTAATTTCCGTCATCAGAGGTTTAGTTTCTATTGTGATATAGTAAGAGCGGCTTTGTCTCTTTGAGTCTTTTTTTCTTTTTTCCAATTGGCATTTTTGGCTTCTTTTTCTTGCCTGTTATTTTGACTGGGTTACTCCTTGCCTGTGATTATTTGAATTTCAGTATGATCAATGATACTGTAGAAAATGTACAAATTAACCTGGCACTAAGGCATCCACAAGAATAGTTCACATGCACCTGACATTGCCACTTCATTCCACGGAGTGATGCTCTCCAACCCACTGCCGTGTGTGTGGAGTTGTGTCTCGGACACATTTACTTTTCAGGCACTTGGCTGCCTCTACAGCAATTCTGTGTGGTGTTTGGGCAGGAACCAGCCGACTCCACTAGACAGAGGCAGAGTTGGAGCTTAGGCTTGAAAGGCGGCAGAGACAGGTGAAGCATGGGGGCCATGGTTGGTATTGTAAGTTTTCTGCCAATTAACACAGGGGCTTGGGGAAGTTCTATTTCATGTGATTACACACACACACACACACACACACACACAAGGACAGAGGTGTGCTGTGTTTACTACCATGCACTCGCTGCGTGGTCACACACACACACAAGGACAGAGGTGTGCTGTGTTTACCATGCACTCGCTGCGTGGTCGGATGTATTCCTGGCAGCAGAGGGTATCCACCATGATCTGCATGAGTGGTGAGAACTTAGCACAGCAAGGGCCGCGGGGCTGCACTGATGGCTGGCAGTGAGTGACCTATTCTTTGCGGAAGGACATACCGAGTAAACAGATGTGATGTAATAACACATACCCCGACACTGACTCCCCTTTGGCCGAATCCCCAATGGCCCTGAAGAGGTTGAAGGATGACCGAGGACAGGTGGGAGAAGACATCAAATGCAGTTAACAAATACTTCATGCACGTCACATGCATGCTTCATACATGGATGACTGTGCTTATGTTTAGGTTTCGAACTACCGAAGGAATTCTGTTGTTCAATCTTTAAAATTGCGTGGTCAGAATAAACGCTGTTTCTGGGACGGATTCAATGAAGCCATGCCGAATTGCATTTCTGACTTAAATGGATGGACACATTTATTATGCACGGATTGCCCATGTGTACTTGGGCCCAATTCCGAGTGTTTTGTCTACTGGTGTCTGTACAGACACGAATTGTCAAGTCTTTACCGCCTGCTGTAATTGTAGCACCTTGTGGGATTTTTTAATATCTGCTGGATTCGTTCCCATCACATCAGTGGCCTTCATGTTTAGTTTTATTCCTGGGTTTTCTCACTTGTGTTTTGATGTTAACGTTGAAATCAATTTATCTAGCTCCAGGAAAAAAAAAACAACACATTTTGACTCTATCTGTTGGAGAATATAAGCTTTCTTATCATTTGTTCAAAGCTTTTTTTTCCCCTCCCCACAAGTATTTTAAAGAGTTCCTCATATACGTTTTCACATTTCTTGTTAAGGCCTTGGGTATGTTATCTTTTTTGTTACTGTTATAATTGGTGTCTTCTCTTCCATTATGCATCTTCTAACTGAAGTATAACCTGATTTTGTCATGTTTTATACAGACTGTATTGAGTTTTCCTGGTATTTGGGGGTTCTGGATGTGCTCCAAGTCTTCCTTACAGCAGGAGAGACTTTGAAGGCTCTTGCCCATTGCCTTGGATGGTTCTCTTGTAAGACTGTAGTGGAAGGAGCAGGACATAAAGGGACACCTTCCCATGACCCTAAATTTAGCAGAAATGCACCCAGTGCCACCCACTAAGGAAAGGCTAGCTTTTAGACTGAGGTATATATATCTTATTATCCATTGACTACTATCTTTATTTACTGGAAATGGGTTTTGAATTTGTTAAAAGACTTTTCGTTAATCTTATTCTCCTTAGCAAAGCAAAAATATTATATCTATGGATTTTCTAATATTTAATCATCCTTACATTACCAGAATAAATCCTACTTGATTACAATGTACTATTTTAAAAAATAAAGTTGGATTCCGTTTGCTAATCTTTCACTAGGGTTTTTGAATTCATAAGCTGGATTGCCTCAAACTTCTCTTTCTGTGTGATCAGATTTATGTCCTCTGTACGTGTGCTGCTGGGGAGCAGGGATACTCTCCTCCCCTGGCCGTGTCTGGAGCAGTGTGGGCAGCACTGGGACAATCCTGCAGTGGAAAGTTTGGTGTAATTCCCAAGGAAACCATCTCAGCCAGGTCTTCTACTGGGAGAGAGAAGTTCTTTCTTAAATTTCTCCATTTCATCCATGGAATTTGGCCTATTTAAACCTTCTATCTCTACTGAGATTACTTTTGGTAAATTATGTTTTTCCTAAAAAGTGATAGTTTTCATCTAAAATATTTACATAGAGTTGTACATTTCTTATGATTTCTTAATTTCTCTGTTTGATGGGTATTCCCCCCATAATTTCTTGTTTTGTGCATTTTTGGTCTCATTTTATATCTTGATTAGGTTTGTGATTTCTTTTTCCTACTTTTTTTTTTTCAAAACCAGATTTTTTAAACGTTAGTTTGAGTGTTTTTCTGGTGTTTGGCTCATTGATTTCTGCTTTTATTTTTTTAGTTCCTTCCGTGTGCCTACTCTCAGCTCATGTTTCCCAATTTTTGAACTGGAATTTTAAGTATTTAACAACTCTGTGGTATCGATAGTTCTAAGTATTTATAACGGCGCCTTTCCCTCGGGCCTTGACTCTAGACTTAGACACGTGATTGTGTGGCCGGCCTTTCTAGAGACGCTGCGTTCAGTTTGAACTTCTCCTGTCACCCTGCCACCTGTCATTTCAACAAGGCCACTCTGTCCGCACTCTGGGTAGGAAGATAGATGGAGTACTTCCAGGATGCTTGCTTTGTAAATATTTAATATCTTATCCAATCTCAGGTGCCGGAGCACTCAGCCAAGGCGTCCACTCTCCCTGGGCTCCCATCCTTCTGTGGTGAGACCGGCTCTGCCTCCTTGGGTGTGGCCCTAGCTCAGCCCCTTCCTGACCCTGCACTGGTCTGGACGGTGGCCCTCAGCTCACTCAAGTGCCCGGGAACCAGAGAGGCTGAGCTGGGTAGGGACAGAGGCATGCAGCATGAGGAAGAGAAGGTGGGGGGCCCCAGCCTCACAACATTGGCAGGATAACCAGTATGGTCACAAGGACACTGACAACAGCCCCCAGAGTGGAGGAGAGGGCGGGGAGGGGCTGCGGAGGTGGGGGTGTGTGTTCCACCTGATGATGGATCCATGCTGAGAAATAAGAGACTCGGGCATAAACTGCAGGATACATAGGGAACATGCAACCACGGCCCCAGCTCACTATTCCAATTTGCACCCAGATGTGGTTAAATTCACAGACGAGTGGACCCCCAGAGTCACCCTGGAAGAAAAGAGGAGTTTCCTGTGAACCTGGAGACAGGGCCTGCTGCTGCCTCCTGCATGAAGGTGGCCCACTGCCCACCCTGCAGGGCCAGGCCCAGAGCCCCTTCACTCTACAACCCCAGCTTGCCAGTACCAGGCCCTGCTACAGGCTAACAGGGCAAATGCCACAGGGCAACAGTTTGTGCACAGGGCAAGTGCACAGACACGTGGGCTGCTCCACTGGCACTGGAGTCTGTGGGGCACTGGGCACTGACTGGGGCCTGTGTCCCATCTGCACATAAGCTACCGTGAGGTTTCCTGCCCAGCCTATGGCTGCACAGTGATGTGCTCCCAAGCCCCACAGGGGCCAAGCCTTCAGGGACCGCCCCCCCCCCCACCTACTCAGTAGAAGTGTCCACGGTGGCTTAAAGCAGATGAACACGTGAAAGCCCTGGGCTTGGCTCCCTGTGCCCACAGTGGGACGCACCTCACACATGGTCTTCAAATTCCCGGGATCCCCAGCACACATCATGTCTGGCAGAAGGTATGTGTGTCCATAGAACACCTGGCACAGGGCAAATGGGATCAGAGGCAGCTGCACCTCCTGCAGGTAGTCTGAGGTGTCACCTGTCAGAAAGAAGCCAGGCCCAGTGAGAGGTCCTCCCAAGACTGCTCCCCAGGACATGCCC